TCCTGCTGACCGTTGAAAATTAGTATTACATCCTACCGTCACAAATTGAGGGATGCACAAAACTGAGCTTTGGGTTCTGTAAAGTGGATTTGCAACATCCCATAGAAAATGCTTTGGCTTTGTGACGAAGCGCTGGCACACGGATACCAGAATCAGTGGAGTTTTGCTTGCGAATGGCAGGAGCTCGGCGAAGGGGAAAAGCACTTGGGACAGCTATGCTAAATATCTTTTCACTGCTGAAATAGCATCAAGGCAGTTTCTAGCTGGGAGGAACGAGAGACAAAACTTGTGTTACTGATGAGCCGGAGATGGCAAGAGGAGAGAGAAACAGCGAGAGAACAGGAGTGCAGGTCAAGAAGACCGATCACTGACTGACATTTGAGCCCGCTTAATGGCGTGCCTTGGGTTTTTCTTACAGGTACAATCCAGGGCCCATTGCTGGCAAGGCTGTGAACTTCCAGGCACAGGACAACGGCCCATTGCAGAGCCACAGTCCCTCGGTGGAGAAACAGGATGAGCAGGGTTTGCTAACAGACCCCATCAAGAAAAGGTTTGTATCCCATCTCTCAGCCCCACTGCAGCAAGGATGGTTATTTCTGTCTGAGACACAGAGGATTCATCCTTGCACCAGCGAGGACCATGCAGCGGCTTATGCTTCCCCTGCACGAGGGCTTTTGGAGCCTGGGTACAAGCACAGGTTGGAGACTTGCTTCAGAGGCTCCTTTCACTCCTGTCCTAGACAGCCTTCCCAGCCCTGTGGGTCTTCTCTCCTTCCCACTGGTTCTCTGACTTCACCTTTGCTTTTCATGCACTTCTCATCAGCTTTTTCATTAGTGCAGATACTGATGAACAGCAGGTAGTATTTTGTTTCGCCTACTGCCTCCCTATCGGGACTAAACTCCTCCAAATCCTTTTATCCTCCAACACTGGAGCAGTCCAATACCAAAACACTTATTTTATGGTTACCTGCTCCTGATCTCAGCGCTACCTCTGGTGTATTTCGACATCTGAAACATCTATTTCTTACCCAGGAAGTTCATTACTTGTTCTCGTGCTTCTCTTTCGCCTTTAGGATGCAACGTCATGCTGATGCCATATTCACTGACAACTATCGGAAATTCCTGGGGCAGATCTCCGCCCGGAAATTCTTACAGACCATTATTGGCAAGCGGCTTGGGTAAAGTAAACCACATCATCTTGCTATCCTAGGGCTAATGTTTTGTTTGTTACACTGGGCAGTTTCTTTTATGCACGTAGGAAAATAAGGAACTGCCATCCTCTGCAACAAAAGCAGTCTCTCCCGCTGTTCCCCACGCCTAAGGGCATCCTACACCCATTTCTAGGATTCTCCTAATCACAACTATTATTAAGCAGCATAATTAATCCTTCCCTCCCAGGCTATCATTGTCAGGTCACCTGAGATCTCTACCTTGCTAGCAACAATCAGGAATCTTTGTGGACAATAGTTGCAATGATTATTCACTGGTAGAAAGAGTTATTCTTGGCCCTGGTCTGAACACAGAAAACAGCCTCCCCACTACCACTGTAGCTTTGGCTAGACAGATGAGTTACGGCCATTAAATAAGACCAACTAGTCACACAAGAGCAAATACAGCTGACCAGTTTCTTACTGAAATGACACAGAATGGCCCCAGCCCGAAGCCCAGCTAGTTCCCTTGCCCTGCTGCTCTGCCTGAGCCGCTATTTGAACGAGGGACTGAAAAGCCCTGCAAATAGTGCCAAGCTCTTCAAAAAGCATTACTAACACCGGTTCCCATCTTTGCATAACAAGCAGTGAGAGGAGCCCAGGGGAAGGGGTGCATGAGCTTCTGACAAGGCGCCAGTCTGACAGCATCTTGATGGACAGCCGCTACCACCAACAGATGGTATTAAGGGACTTCCTGGGAGCAATTTTGCAGAATCAAAGGTAGGTAGGAATTGGGTTTCATTTTCTGCTCACAGCAGGAACAAGACAAGGCCCTTATTACTGTTTGGCTTCCAGAATTGAAGCTACAGGATTAAGTGTTATCCTTCAGGTACGCTCAGGAAAAAACAAAGCTCCTAGCGGACTGCATAACCCATCCCTTTCCTTACTGGGGAAGCAGGCTGCAGATAAGGAACAGCCTGCTCTGAGCCAGCCCACACCACATGCAGTACCATGTCACTGTGCTGTCTCCTCATTGCATGGAGTTCAGTAAAATAGCAGCAGAAAAAGAATTTTTCTCTCAAGCCCAAATTGTGCCATGACTGTCCAACTCTCTTCTCCTTCACAGGCCTCAGGACATCAACAGCAGTCACTTAGAAGGCTTTCCCAGAACCCTGGCTAAGCTCATGTAAATATTTCTCCTCCTTTCATCTCCCTGTGCTCTGGTGAGTATCGGTCCCTGCCGGTTCAGTTCTCTGTGCAACACAGTGCTTCTGTAGTGCACTGAACAAGCACTTTGAAGGCACCCTCGCAGCAAAGCCAAGTCCCATTGCCGTCAACGAGAGAAGGACGTTCACTGCAACTTAAGGGAAAAAGCTCTGCCCTACTCGGAAGAGATAGGCCATGAGTAATGCGAAGTCCTAGGCATCGGTCTCCCCAGGAAGCCTTCCTGGTCTGCCTACTCCAGCCTGAGCCCTCACACACACACTGATCTCATGGCAGGTCTATCAGCAAATCCAGCAGAACTCAAATGCCCTTTTGGACATCTGGGAACTTGCAGCAACCAAGGACAGCCTTTAAAAGCTATCTGAGATAGCGTGCTTGAGTGTCCAAGCTAGAATAAAGATGGACAAAAGTCTCCCCCAGAGAGCAGATCCTGCCTCTAGATCCCTGGGATATCTCCAGTTTCCCCTCTCAGCGCACTGAAGACAAGACAGGAGGGAGTCTTATAGTTTTATCCACCCGTTACTCCTAAAAAGAGTCATCTGGAACTTGAAATATGCTCTAATTTTTGCCAGCCCTGGGAGAGTGACAGCCAGGAGACAATCTACTAGCCCGTTCCCGGTCATACCTTTATTCATACAAACACTAGTTTTCCCAAATGAACCAACCTCATGTTATTCCTCTCTCTCATAGAAATTAACCCTGTCCACCCCTAGTCAGCACAATTCTAAAGGGTGTGAAGAGCCCCATGTGTGCATTTAAAAGAAGGGGGAAAGAGGTTTATATTTGTACCAGAACTTTACATAAATCATGGCTGTGGATTCAGCTGCGACAGCGTGGCATTTCAGCATCTCTCTTACTTACCCCTTCTGCCATGCTTGAGTTGGTTGCATGCACTGGTTCTTCCCACAAATAAGGTCAGCCAGGAGAAGCAGCCTCTAAAGAGGGAAAAAACTCGTGTGTGTGCTCACAAATAACTCTGTTCTCCTTCTGCTTCTGTCCAGGATAACTCAGAGCTCGTGGACGTAGCTGTACAGTAAACCGTTCACAGCAATCAAGACATTCCTGGATGTGACCAGCTGGAAACTGATGCATACAGTCCTCAAAGTCTGCTTGACAAGGAATGCAATTATGATGCCCAGCTTAATTTACTTCAGTCTTTACTATTTAATTCCCCTCTCTAAGTACTGGTCTGTGTATTGAATGAGGAAAAAATACCTCAGAGGTTTAACCTAAGGCTGCTTTGTATGAGGCTAGACAACCAGTACACTTCTAACCCTGCAGAGATATTGTCTACTCATTAAGCCTTTCAAATCATGAAGCGTAGCAAGAAATCTGCAAAGTCATCACTGTGTTTGAGGGCCTGATTAATAAATACACAGCCATCAAGAGCTGCCTTTGGAAACTTAGTAAATTGATTATAGCCTCCTTTAAGTAGAGGCTGAAGGCACAACACAGTTTGGATCAGTGTGAGGTAAGATCCGAATCCACACCTCTACCATCTGTTACAAACACCACTATGGGCTGTTATTTAGCTCCTTGATACAGAGCCCTTGCATCAAAGCTGAGCTTACAAACAGAGCCTAGCCTTGAGCTGTTTAAATTGAAGCTACAGCTTTGCTCTGCAAGAGTTAAAGGAAATGCCTGTGCATCAGATTGGGCTGTCATTATGTTTTAATTCAATGTGCCATGGCTAAGATAACAGCTGTAACTTTTCACTACCCCTTATAAGAGGAAATATCTTATTACCCCAATGCTCTCTCACACAGCTACTTCCTTCCCTGTCACCTCAGTTCTCCTATTGTTCTTGTAATAACTGTATCTTCAGAGGTGTAAATAATGTCAGGATGGGGTTTGATTTCCCATCATTAGCAGGAAATAAAAGTTGTTCTAAATAAACCTGTCCAACAGCAGGTCACGACGGCTCTTTGTCTATTGAGATGTTAGTTTCTTGATCCTGCGCCCAGAATGGAAGACATTGCTCAAAGACAGCAGGCAAACGCACAGAGAATAAGAGCGAGCTGTGCTAACGGAAGGCTCCAGCTCCAAGGCAGGGTCCAGTGCCAACAGCTCAAGACCAGGCTGGAAATACACACGCATACAAACATACATGAAAGCCTCCGAAAGCATTCCTCCTGTGCATCTGAATAATGCCTTGACAGTCTGCAGTAGACATCATGCCATTTTTTTCAGATGACCATGTTCTAGGACAACAGGCTCCAGCATGTGTAGGAGTGAGCTCACGCTTGCACCAAATCCCTACAAGATTACATTCTCCCTGTTCAGGTCTTACAGTTCTAGCATTAGGACAGCATTACTAACTGCCTCAGCAGGATGGGAAGCAACTAGGGTAGGCTCAGGGAGATCAGTGAAACTATGACAGCGGGAAATGCGTGCGTTACTCTTATGCAGGCAGAAAACTGTCACACTGAGACATAACAAGGCATCCTTCTGCTGCACAGTACAGCTGGACAGAGGACCCACAAAAGGAAAAACAACTTGACTTGGTCTTAAGGAGGCCTGGTTCAAAATATTTTTGAAAAGTGTTCTGTAACAATGATCACGACACACTTTAAAAATTCGTTAGGAGGTCATTCCAAGAAAGGGAATTACATAAAATGAAGCAGCTTGTTAAGTAGTAAGTAGAAGCAGTGGCAAAAGAATAAAACTTTTGCAAGTGGCATAAAAACTGTACTGGAGACTCAGAATAAAATCAAAAGATCAAAAAACAACTTCGGAAAGATCTACACCTGTTTGAATAAACAGATGGCTGAGCACAGCTATTTGGAATAAAGGGGAACCCTTTCAAAATTTGGTTTGCCTCTAAATGAGGAAACAAATGCTCAAACTCTGGCAGATTGAATGTAAAAAACAAATAAAGCAGAACAGAAAATGTCTGAGGAATAAGAAGCCAAAGGAATAAAAACATCCTTTGCTAACACATAGCTCGGAAGGTAGAAAATCAATAGCAACATGCAGAGCTTAGAGAAGACGTGCCATAGCAGAACTATATGACTTTTGTGCATCTGTATTTTCCTTGGGGAACATACCAGAGCTCTTCAGCAGGGGAAGGACTGGAGGATCTCTCCCAGCTTGAGGTATCATTAAAAAAAAGTGGGGAGGGGGACAAGCGAGCAGTAACAAAACACCAGGCTCAAACGGAATTCACCAGGGTGAAAAGGAACGCCAGGATGAAACAATACATGTAGTAGCTTAACTAATTCTTGCTTAAAAATGCTTTAGTCCCAGAAGACTTGAAGGAGCATGAGATCAATGTTTTCTAAAAAGGACTGCAGAGGAGATCAAAGGACTAGTTCAATAAACCTGTATGCTGTCCAGTTTAATGCTCATGGTGAGCAAACTGGTATAAACTACTAAAGAACAGAAACAGTGAGCTAAGTTTAAATAAATGAAGTGGGGAGGAGCCAACAGGGCTTTTATAAAGGGAGTCACATTCTACACATATATGGGAGTCCTATGAAGGAATCATCTACACACTGTCTATTTGCACGCTTGCTGGTTGATACCCTCTTGGGTTTCCAAAAGGCATTTGATAAGGTTCCTTTGCCAAAAGGCCTTTAAAGAAGCTAAGCTGACATGAAACGAGAAGGAGATTTGGTGGCTGGAGCAGGGGCTAGGAGTACTTAAGTTTTCAGTGTGGAAATAAGCAACAGGAGAATTCCCTAGAAATCTGTGCCATTCCCCAAATGATTCACTCTCCCCCTCCTTCCTAGGCCATTCATTTACTGCTTATACTAAAGTATTCAGAGTCATAAAGAGGAGGGTGAGCAAGAAGTGTTGCAAGTGCCATTAGCCTTCAAGATGCTAGCCAATGACATTCAGTTAAATGCAATATGAAATAGAAAAGATCATCCCAAGTCAGTTTTGCAAAGAGGGGCTCCAGTTTAATTAGTACTACACAGAAGGAGATTTTAGGGTTTGCCCTTTGAGTTTATTATTAATGTGTCCTTCAATAAAGCCGAAGTGTATACTATTTAATGGTCTTGATGGTGCACACAGACAATGACCTGTTAAAAGGGGCAGCAAATCAAACTTATTTTTGAACTGATAAGGTCACTTCCAGAGGCAGGAAAGAAACTTAAGCCCACTATAAGGGCCCACCAAACCTGCCTAGGGAGCCAGGGGCAGACACAGCCAGGCACACCACCACCACAGCTGGCTCCCTGCAAGGGCCAGGCCCCACCAACTCTTCCAGGTCGAGTCTCAAAGGCCCACAGCAACTCAGCGTGGCCCTGGCTCGAGCCATCCTGAAGGCAAAGAAAATAGCAATTACTGGAGAAAGGCAGATGCCAGCATCGCACAAAAGATGGGCAGGGGGGGTGAAGTCCTCCCAAATAAGCGTTTACCTCTGGGAACAGACATGAAACGAAATGGGGTTGTGGTGAATGGCGCAGAGTCAAGTCGGAGGCCTGTGGCTAGTGGTGTCCCCCAGGGGTCAGTCCTGGGTCCAGCCTTGTTCAATATATTCATCAATGACCTGGAGGAAGGGACAGAGTGCACCCTCAGCAAGTTTGCTGAGGATACTAAACTGGGGGGAGAGGCTAACACACCAGAAGACTGTGCTGCCATGCAGAGGGACCTGGACAGGCTGGAGAGGTGGGCGGAGAGGAACCTCATGAAGTTCAACAAAGGCAAGTGCAAGCAAGGTCCTGCCCCTAGGCAGGAATAACCCCCTGCACCAGGACAGGCTGGAGGTTGACTTGCTGGAAAGTAGCTCTGCAGAGAAGGACCTGGGAGTGCTGGTGGACAACAAGTTAAACATGAGCCAGCAGTGTGGCCTTGTGGCCAAGAAGGCCAATGGTCTCCTGGGGTGCATGAGGCAGAGTGTGGCCAGCAGGACGAGGGAGGTGATCCTGCCCCTCT